CCAATGGAGTCACCATATAACAAAACTGGAACCTCAGAAGTTTTTAACAGCATTGAGGATAGAACAGCAAGACTTTAGGTGTCAGATCTAAGAAATAAAATTTGATACTGGTCACATAGGTTCTTTGCTTCTGAGTATTAGATAAAGCAGACACAATATAGTTGATGTTTCAGTGGTAAGAGAAAACTGTCAATGGAAGAAGTTCACAGGAAGCCAAAAGACTTAAGATACACTGAATTTATTGTGATTACTTTAAAAAAAAATAGACTATTAGTATGAGAAGAGAAGGTCTGTCAACTTCCACATAAGAAAAGACAACACAGTAGGTAGTAAAGATGAAACAAAAAGTTACCTTTAAAGGAAGTAAGCTATTCTGTCCAGGACCCATCACCCAGAGTAAGATTGAGAATAAGATTTAGGAAATTTCTTCGGAAGGAAAAGTTTTACAAATAGCAGCATTTTGCCCGCCAAAAAAAAAAACCTGAGAATGATCTATGGTATGAAACAAAATGGCGAATGGCCCCATTTCTAGACTTTCCAAATTCTTAAAAACAGTACGATTTTGACATTAGTAATTAAGAGACTTTTTTTTTAATTTCTTGATTTTTGACAGTCTTTATTCACAGTGAAATTGAGACCTGTATTTGCTCAGTACAACTACTCCTTGGTAACGACAAAATGAAAAACAATGAAAACAGGTTCCATAAAACGTACTTTTAAATTTGCTTTGTTTTTTCGATTAATCACGGAATTATATTTTTGATGGTTCTACCTTGTTCTAACAATAGTAGATGAAAAATATTCTTCCTTTATGGTAATTTGTTACAAAGTCAGAGGTACAACAATGCTTCCTTTCTCCATCCTTCTTTATGCCAGATAAAGAAATATTTCTTTCAAGATCACTTGCCAAAAAGAAAGCTTCCCCTCTGCCCTCTAAAGGTTCACTGAAAATGAACTAATAGACAAATTAATAGCAGAAACAGGCATACAAATTTATTTAAGGTGCCTAAGCATGGGAAAAATTGCAAGAGAATGATTACCCAATAACCGAGTGACTTTCATATACTATATACCCTTCTTCACAGGGGAAGGGGACATGAGGAAAATGAGGCCATTTTGAAGGGCAGTAAATGATTTTTAGCAAGATGAACAGGCCTAGTGCTCCGATAATGGTTAGTAAAGCATTCTCTTTGAAAACTGAATGGGATCTGAAAACAGACAACAGTCTGGACAAAGTTCCTCTGAGTTCTCCAGGTGTGATATTTAATTTTTAGTCTCTTCCTGTCAGACAAGTTTCAGTCTTCTCTGGTTAATGAAATTTAGGAAGGGGAATCGAAGGCAATTGTATTCCTTTTTGGTGGGTCTGGTTTCTACGTAGATAAAGGAACTTCAAAGAACAGCCTCATCCTGTACTTTGGGAGAGACCTTAAGGCTGCGTCCTTAGTTTGTCGAAGAACCATTTTTTGGAGTATCATTTTCTGGGCCCCAACAAGTTCCTGACATCATACACTGGCACATATTTTCTTACTCCCTTTGTCAGGGCTTACCTTTGATGCCCATCACATTAGAATTATATGGACAGATTACTGACAGAGCACAGTTAAAGGTGAGCCTGTCTCAGATGCCATGGCTTAATTTAACTCCTGAAGGACCAGCTCCTCAAACCCCAAATCAGAGTTCAGGTATTATTGAGTTCATTTATTTTCACAAACATTGAAGAGATACTTTTAAAATATAGCCCTTTAAAAAAACAGACCTTTAAATGCCCACTTTCTGATAACAGAAATATAGAACACATACATATATTTTTTTGAGAGATAGGGTCTTGCCATGTTGCCCAGGCTGGTTTCAACTTTTGGGTTCAAGCAAGCCTCCTGCCTCGGCCTCCCTAAGTGCTGGGGTTACAGGCACAGGCCACCATGCCTGTCCGAGTATGATGATTTTTAAATGTCTACACTTAGCATGCTGTGATTTAGGTGGGGAAAACAGAGCATAGATACATATATTTTATATATGCAAACGGAATATCTCTGGAAAAATGAACAAAAAACAAAATACCTAAAAAACTCATATTTAGGCCCTAGAGGAAAGAACCAGAGTAACAGAAAAAAGATTTTGAGCATCTTCACCTTTTACACACTTTATCACTATTATACTGTGTTTCTATTATCTATTCAAAATTTTTTTATATAGAAATTTAAAAATTCACTACATAGATTTAACCACTCTGAAATAAGATAAAGTAAAAATTAATGCTGAGATGAATTATGTATTATGGAACATAAAGACCAACAGTACCTTCTGGAAGAAAGCTGATGGAAATGGTGATTAAAGGGCTTCAAGCTCTCTACTGTTATATCCTACTTTTCCCAACATTAAAAAAATCCATAAGCAGGTAATCTTAAATCACAGTGGCATCTACTGAACTTGAAGATAATTTTTTTTTTTTTTTTTTTGAGAAATAGTCTCACTCTGTCACCCAGACTCAAGTGCAGTGGCACAATCTCGACTCAATGAACCTCTGCCTCTGAGGCTCAAGCGATTCTTGTGCCTCAGCCTCCTGAATAGCTGAGATTACAGGTGTGTACCACCATCCTCGGCTAATTTTTGTATTTTTAGTAGAGACGGGGTTTTGCTATGTTGGCCAGGCTGATCTTAAACTCTCAAGTGATCTGCCCACTCTGGACTCTCAAAGTGCTGGGATTATAGGCATGAGCCATCACACCTGGCCAAAGGTAACTTTCATTATGTTTTTAAATGAAAATTCTTAGATTCAATAATACTGAAGTATACTTGTCATTCAAGAAATGTCATATTGGTGTATCCCACCACATAAATAATTATAGAACATATTTTCTCCCAAGTCATGTTCTAGAATTTCCCCCTTACTAAAATCCTCAGAAAAACATCAATCCACAATTCCATGTACACTAAAGACAGCATCCTTGTCTCCTTCAATTTTTGCTCAATTGCAATGACCATGGCCAAAACAGCTCTTCACGATACACGTTTCCAAATTACATCCTTTGTAACTTGATCAAAGGCCAATCACAGTCAAGAAACGAAGACAAGGACAGAGCTGGATAGCATGCTTCTATGTCACTCAGTTTTATAAAGACAATACTCCTCTGTAATAAATGTTAAAATGAAATCTGCCCAACTTTAAGTAAGAAAACAAACCCCAAAAAGTGGAAGGCTGGTTTCTAACCTGTGGCCTCACCTGCCGAAGCAGTTCTTGCTGTTTCAGCCGCAGCCTTTCCTTCTCCATCTGCAGCTGCTGCAGTCGCATCTGTTGCTGTTGGTTGGAGCTGCTGCCACCCATGACACCTCCCTGTGGGCTCTGGGGAGCCAGGGGTGGTGGCTGTTTCACTGGCGCACTCTGACTAATTCTCTGGTTCATGGCTGAAAAGAAAAAAAAAATCTGTCCTAAAAAGCTAGCAAAGGAAGAGAAAATGATGATTTAATTATTCAAAAGCAATTTGAGATATTCAATGTAGCTTTTTTGGGCAGGAAGACTGGAAATAACCTAAAAATCCATCAATACTACAATGACTACATTAACTTATAATTATTGTTGTCACAAGATACAAGGAAGTCATAAGAGAAAACGATATAGTTTTAACATGCAACGATAAAGAACGGTTTCTAAGGACTTACTAAGTTAAAAGCAAAGTGCAGAAGATAAAGGTTAAAAAAAGTGGGGGGACAAAGGTGATGAATATATATTGCATATTCAGAGGATATAAAAACTGATGAATAGCTAAGAAGCAACTAACATATTTTGGCTCCACAGATGGGAAACTAGGTGACTAAGAGGACAAAGTTGGAGATCCTTATTTATAACTTCTGAAGAGTGAATGATGCAAATGTATTACTTCTTATGAAATATATATTTAATTAAAAATTCATTCACAAAAGCAACTAAAAGCATTCTGAACAGGAAAGCCCATCAAAATAATCAGGCCTTAATAATATATTTACATACATATCCCAATAAACCAAGTGATTAAAATGATCTGATGCTTGTTCGTATCAAATTGAGTCCACAAGTATTTGGATGACACAGATTTGTCTCATTTGACACCACGATACCCCCAGCACACAGCCTAGGTACTCAAAGAGAAAAAAAATTGTTTTTTGAAGCTCCAATATACCATCTGGTGGTTAGAAATGGACTCAAGTTTTTATACTACTAAATTTCTGTCACTGATAAAACATTGATCAAACTGTGGATTAACCTCAGTGAGCAGAGTGAAGTTTTATGTGAAAATGTCAGTAAGAAGAATAAAACTTTTCAGACACGTATTCAACTTAAGTTGAAATTTTGAGTCACTGTTTCTACAGTTTAGTACACACTGACTAAAGAAAACCCGACGTCCCAGCGGCTTTGCAGTCATTCAAGGAAGAAATAATACCAATCTTACACAACCTCTTCCAGAGCATAACAAGGAAGGAATATTTTCCAACACTTATAAGGCCAGCATAACCTTGATACCATACAAGGATATTAAAAGAAGGGAAAATTACAGGCCAATCTCTCACATAAACCTTGCTGCAAAAATCCTAAATAACATACACTGACAGCTCTTATAACTTAATGGTCTCACAGTCACAGAGCAAACTCCTCGTGACTTTTAATGTGTCCCATTACAACAGACTGGCTGCTTGGTAAATACCATTTCTTCTTGGAGACTACTTGAGCAAAAACATCACAAGGACGAGTCCATCCTATACATTAAACGTTTTCTTCTCTCGAGGAATTGCCTAGGAACTCTTCCATATTGTCTACTAACATTTATCGCTTGATTCTATTTTTTTTTTTTTTTAACAAAACTACTTTTAATACTCTGGGGTGAGTCCCACAGAAATTGGGAAGGGGGAGAGAGGCTACCTGAGGAAAAGGAGGCACAAAAGAGACCCACTGCAGACTCAGGGCAAGGGGAATGCCATCGGTGCTGGGACTTGTGAGCCCTACAGGAGGAAACGCGAGCGTGGTGGGACTGGTTCTAGGCAAACAGGCGAAGGGCAAGAGGGCTGGACATGCAGCCACAAAGCTAGTTGGGTTCCTCCTTCTTCTTGTTTGCCTTCTTCTGCTTCCGCTGCATGATCTCTGACCCTGGGGGTAGAGATGATGAGGCACTCTGCTTGCTGGTGGCAACAAAAAGCCTGTCATCTTGGTGCCTTCCCTTAACTGAGTTGCTCTGCTTTTTCATATTCTTCTGGTGGGTGAGCTCACGCTGGTTACTGCAGGTCATGGCAACAGAGACAGCCCTAATTTTTTGTTTACATATGTATATGCTCCCTCAGACTGACTGCCACAGGAGTAGGGGATGTATCCTAGTCATCTATGTGTCCTCAATGCCTAACATAGCATCTAGCTGAAAGTGTATGCTGAAAAAATGCCGAACCATTTCTATATACGCTGAGTAGTTCCTCACTGAGGCAGACTCACTGAGGCAGAAAATTAACTATTTAAGGTAAAAGACAATAGAGAAGTCCTACTATTAATTTCCCTCTAGATTACCTCTTTTTTTTTTTTTTTTTTTTTTTTCAAATCCCTGTCTTACTATGTTGCCCAGGCTGGTCTCAAACTCCTGACTTCACACAATCCTACTGTCTCAGTCTCTTGAGTAGCTGAGACTGCAGGCAAGCACCACACCTGGCTCAAGACTGCCCAGTTCTTCTATCAGGCCAGCACAGCACTGAAACAGAACCAAGGATATTAGAGAGGGGAAAATTATACACCACTCTCTCTAACAATGCCTTAGTTCAATCCAATCTTCTCAGCTACCTGTTAATATAAGATGACTGCATTAACTTATTTCTATTTTTTCTGCTGTTACTTTTTCCCTCCAGCTTTTCTATATTTCATTTTCTAACTTTTGAGTTAAACTTACTACTTCATTTAAATATTTTTTTGGAAGACTTAAGTCAACAAATTTATCCTTAAGTCCTGCTTCACCTGCATGCCACACGTTTTGAAATAGTATAGTTGGCCGGGCGCGGTGGCTCAAGCTTGTAATCCCAGCACTTTGGGAGGCCGAGGCGGGTGGATCACAAGGTCGAGAGATCGAGACCATCCTGGTCAACATGGTGAAACCCCGTCTCTACTAAAAATACAAAAAATTAGCTGGGCATGGTGGCACGTGCCTGTAATCCCAGCTACTCAGGAGGCTGAGGCAGGAGAATTGCCTGAACCCAGGAGGCGGAGGTTGCGGTGAGCCGAGATCGTGCCATTGCACTCCAGCCTGGGTAACAAGAGCGAAACTCCGTCTCAAAAAAAAAAAAAAAAAAAAAAAATGAAATAGTATAGTTCATGACTCTTTTATTCCAAAAATGTGTGATTTCTATGGTGACTTAAACTTATGTGCTATTTAGGAATATATTTTTATGTTTCCAAATACGTATTTTAAATTTTAAAGATAATTTCCGTAAACATAGAAAAGTAGAAAAGTTAATGCATATAATGAATCCTTGTGTACTCATCACCTTCTTCCCCATCATCAATACATAGCCAATCATTCTTTACCTCTATCCTCAACTGCTTTTCAGCTCCAATTATTTTCGAGCAAACAATATAGCATTTACTCATAATTTCAGTATGTATTTCTAAAAAGGTGGGGCCTCCTTTAAAAAAAGAAAAATGTAATTACAATGCCATGATTACACTATCAAAATTTACCAATTCCTTAGTATTATCAAAAGTCCATCGTATGTCTACATTTTCCTATCAAGAGAATTATTATTATTTTTACAACTGGCTTGTTCAAAACAGAATCTAAACAAGGTCTATACATTATATTTCATTCATAATCCAAGACTTCTTTAATAACATGGTTCTGTGGTTTCTGGATCATTAGGAGTAGGTAGCAACATTTTAGAAATGTAAATTTACGGGCCCTAACCCAAGGCTAATGAATGAGAAACTACAGGATGAAGCCAGTAATCCTGTGTTTTGAGAAGCCCTCCCAGTGACTTTTGATTCATGCCAGCGCTCTGAGGACCACTGTTTTAACACACAGGTTCCTCCTTCGTTTTCTCTTTGGCATTTATTGGTCAAAGAAACTGTGTCATTTGCCCCATGAAATTTTCTACAGCCTAGACTTTGCTGATGGCATCCCCACAGTACTATGTAGCATACTTTTCCATTTCTTGATTTGCTGTAAACAACTTTGATATAGAGGCCTGATCACAATTTTTGGCAAGAATACTTCACTGGTGCACTGCATGAAGAGAGAAGGCACAAGATGACTGTCTTCATAAAGATGAATCAGTGGTGCAGAAGTGGTAAACCTATTGCATCCATTTTAAAAGTTACTTTCACCAAGGGTTTTTAGCAACCACTGATTTTTTTTTTTTCCGACTAAACCCATTATTTCATTAGAGGTTACAAAATGATGGTATCATTCCTTCCTGTGTTATTATCTGAAGTTTTAAAAATAAGAATTTTCCCGTATTAAGCATTTGATTACCCTGAAACATAATTTGTACAGGTAAGGCACAGAATAAATGTCTGATTCATTGCCTTTTTACGTATATTTTCAGGATGATGAGTTGGTCCCACAGAATCCTCCCAAAGGTAGCCAATAAGGGTTTTTTAAAAAACTACTTTGATACTCTGCTACCTGGAGCAAAGGGGAAAAAAAAATCATTATGAAATCACAGATTTTTAAATATGTTTATGATGTGTTTCAACTCAGCACAGTTACTCTGATCAATGCTCCAAGTGTGCCGCATTTTGCCAGGCTAAGACCTTTAAGTTGGATCCTTGTGCTATGGCTACAACGGGCTTGGCCTGCTTCCTTGTTTGCTTTTATAAAATGATGTTCCAAGGTCATCTAGTATATTCCCTGCCCCAAATTTTAGTCAGCCTTTGTTGAAGAAGCCCTGATTTGAGTGAGAAATGGTATTTAGAGACATTATTCTGGGTACTAGGGGTACCCACTATTATTTTGTTGCTTTTATTGTAACTGTTTCTAGGTGGTACTCTCCTTCAGAAAATGCTATTTCTAATTCAGATTTAGGATTCAAGGTTTTTACTTTGATTTTATAACTGGGTTCTAACAACGTTAATACATGTTGTCCTCCATACATATGCAATCATCTAAAATAACATATAATGGTCACTAAAATGATTCAAGTTTCAGACTTCTATGCAATTTTATCTTAAGATATTCCATTAAGTACATAAAGTAAAATCACTGTGCTTTAAAGTCACCTGAAATTATTCTTCTATAATCAGCCAATCATCTCAACATACAGGTGTACTTGTGACATTCTGCTTTTGAATTTGAGAGACTTGCTTTATTTCCCATCCGCTTTCTCCTACCTCTAATAGGTAACAGTTGACTATATCAGTGTTTCCTTTATTCTGTTCTTTTTTTTTTTCTTTTGAGATGGAGTTTCACTCTTGCTACCCAGGCTAGAGTGCAATGGCACAATCTCAGCTCACCGCAACCTCCGCCTCCTGGGTTCAGGCAATTCTCCTGCCTCAGCCTCCGGAGTAACTGGGATTACAGGCACGTGTCACCATGCCCAGCTGATTTTTTGTATTTTTAGTAGAGATGGGGTTTCACCATGTTGACCAGGATGGTCTCGATCTCTTGACCTCGTGATCCACCTGCCTCGGCCTCCCAAAGTGCTGGGATTACAGGCTTGAGCCACCGCGCCCTGCCTATTCTATTCTTAAAACTATAAGCAAACATATACACATCCCTTCTTCTTTGATATATGGTAGCATACCATGGATACTTCCTTCCACTTTGCCTTTTTCTATGTAACAATATAACCTGAAATAACTTGAAAGCAGTATATAGAGATTTTCCCTCATTTTCATGTTGACATCGCTAGTTAATATTCTACTCAACCAATTTCCTATTAGATTTTCATTATTAGTAAAAAGTACTGTATAGAACATGCTCATACATAATTTTGTATTTCTGCTACTGTATCTTTTTTTTGAGATGGAGTCTCACTCAGTCACCAGGGTGGAGTGCAGTGGCACAATCTCTGGCTCACTGCAACCTCTACCTCCCAGGTTCAAGTGATTCTCCTGCCTCAGCCTCCTGAGTAGCTGGGACTACAGGCGCACACCATCACACTGGCTAATTTTTGTACTTTTTAGCAGAGATAGGGTTTACCATGTTGGCCAAGCTGGTCTCCAACTCCTGACCTCAGGTGATCCACTCACTTCGGCCTCCCAAAGTGCGGGGATTACAGGTATGAGCCACTGCACCCGGCCTCTGCTACTGTATCTTTGAGTAGAATTCTGTATGAGATTGCTTAGTTGAACATTAAAAGCATAAATGATTTTGCTAGTAGATATCGCCAAATTTGCACGACCGCCCCAACCCAGGAGTTGTACTGTGATGTAGCCTCACTAGTAATGTAAGAGAGTGCTTTTTTGCCCCCAAAGCCTTGCCAATTTTGGGTTCTGCCAATCTAAAAGACAAGAAATAACATCTCGGTATATTATTTTTGTTATGTCTTAGACAATCTATGCATTAAGGATAAGAAATCTGTGTCTGTGATAGAAGTTAAAAATAATTTTCCTCAGTTTGCCATCTTTTTATTTTGCTTGTTTTTCTTAAGAGCTTATTCTTAGCCAGGTGCAGTGGCTCACGCCTGTAATCCCAACACTCTGAGAGGCCAAGGCAGGCAGATCACCTGAGGTCAGGAGTTCAAGACCAGCCAACACGGTAAAACTCTGTCTCTAAGGCTGGGCGCGGTGGCTTACGCCTGTAATCCCAGCACTTTGGGAGGCCGAGGCGGGTGGATCACGAGGTCAAGAGATCGAGACCATCCTGGTAAACATGGTGAAACCCCGTCTCTACTAAAAATACAAAAAATTAGCTGGGCATGGTGGTGCGTGCCTGTAATCCCAGCTACTCAGGAGGCTGAGGCAGGAGAATTGCCTGAACCCGGGAGGCGGAGGTTGCGGTGAGCCGAGATCGCACCATTGCACTCCAGCCTGGGTAACAAGGGCGAAACTCTGTCTCAAAAAAAAAAAAAAAAAAAAAAAAAGAAACATTTGGATAAGCTTTTGAGCTTTCCACACTGTTTTCATTATGTAACAAAACATTATTTATAAAATAACATATATTCTTGGTGAAAAAAAATTGAATAGCAAAAAGTTGCACAAAAATTAAAGTGGCAAATATCCTTTGCTTCTCACCAGTTTTCGAGAGTTAGATACCACAAGCAGTAATCATTAATGACAACAGCCAATGCTAACGGCAAACTGAATGGGCTGGTAAGGTTTTTTCTTTCAAATCTAAGCTTATCTGACTATTCAAAACCATGGAACAGGAAAAATTAGTTAGGATATCAAAAGATGGAGGAAGAACCAGTCCACAGGATTAAACAGAAACTTGCACAAAATTATGTAAGAGAAATACTCTGGTGACTATTGTGAGCACCTCTGGCTGTGTTTACCTAAATGCTGTTACCTATGGATACAAGCAGCACTACAAGGTTTCCATATAAAGAGCTC